AATGTATTGTTTTAATTGATTGCAATCTAGTTCATTAGAGCTTATATTATCCACTTGAGAATAGTGTTACATATACATTAGGCTTGTGCAGTCCTTCAGATTCAATTTCAAAGGGGGGGGGAACAACATAATTACTATAACAATTTTAAAGTAGACTATATTTTCTTTGGATTTATCCACGTATCTCAGGAAAAAATGTACATGCTTTAAAGAAAATGAAGGCCCTTTAGTTTCATACCCATTTGTGAAAACACCTGTGCTGTTGTCCTTCAGATTAACCCAAAAGGTTAATTTTGCTTCTCACTTCCTAATTGAGGTATTGAAAGTTTTAAGTTTACTATGTAATCTGATGACATTTGAGATTTGGTTATAACTTTGGTTGTAGGACACACAGTCCTATCAAATAAACATTGTAATCACCATTTCTTGTTTTGCCTGGCCAGGAAAACTGGTTCTAATTTTGATGTATGGACTTTTTCAAATCACAAGATCCTGGAGATGCTGCAACATTCCAACTGATCGGCGCTTCTTCTGGGTTCAGCAGAAGCGCCAGGATCAGTGCTGCTTTCCAGCTGATTGGTGCTTCTTCAGGGCTCAGCAGAAGCGCCAGGATCAGTGCTGCTTTCCAGCTGATTGGTGCTTCTTCAGGGCTCAGCAGAAGCACCAGGATCAGCGCCGAGCTACAGCTGGAGCCTGGTGCATTTGCTGAGCCCTGACAGCCCCGAAGAAGTGCTGATCCTGGTTCTTCTGCTCAGCCCTGACAGCCCTGCAGCTCCAGCCATCTCTCGCTCAGGCTTGTGCGGTGCTGCCACCAGTTCAGCTTATTCTCCTCCCCCGCTACTACTTTTCTAGGATGGTCGCGTACCACTTGCCAGGTGCCAATGTACCACAGGTGGTACCCGTACCTCTGGTTGAAAAGCCTTGGTACATTGGCACCTGGCAGGAGATGGCTGGAGCTGCAGGGCTATCAGGGCTCAGCGGAAGCATCAGGATCAGGTGGCTGTCCTTCGGGGGCTGTCAGGGTTCAGCAAAAGCGCCAGACTCCAGCTGTAGCTCGGCGCTGATTCTGGTGCTTCTGCTGAGCCCAGAAGAAGCACCGATCAGTTGGAATGTTGCAGCATCTCCAGGGTCTTGTGATTTATATTCAGATGCTTGGCAACTGATTCATATTTATGACAATCACAATATCCCAGGGTGATGTGAAGTGACCAAAATCTGCTGCAACCACCCAGCAGACGGGGGAATAAAAACCAAACACCCCCCACCCCAACCCCGCTGCCAATCCTCAACAGAAATGCTCACAACAATGAAAACCTCAGACAGGAGGAAGGGCGGGCAGGAAGGTGTCTTGCTCGGCTGTGGTTTGGGGGGCACATTTTTCAATGCCATTGTAACTTCGAACAGTCACTAAGCAAACTGTTGTAATCGAGGATTACCTGTACTTTATCACTTTTTTCCTTTTTTTTTTTTTTTTTTAGTCATCAAGTTTTTACATCTTGCTAGGCGACTGGTGGTACTCAGATGTTGCCATATCCTAAAAGTGGTGCAATGGGTGAAAAGCCCTGTTCTAAAGGAGTTTTTAGCAATTTCTATTTAGCTTCTATTGCTCTGCTATTGTTAGCTGTAAGTTTTGCTGCAAGGGATTTTGAAGTATTTTTCTCCTGAATGGATTTTGCCTGTAGCATTCCTTTACTTATAAATGGAGCCATTTGGGGAGGCTGCCTTAGCCAATATTTATTTACATTTTTTTTTCTTCCTTAACTTTCCTTTCTAGCCAGTAGCTAATTCTTAAAGGGGAATGCGCCTTTTTAAACTAGTTCCTTCAATGGCTTCTCTTTTCTGTCTCTGGAGGTTTTTTCTTGTTTGAATATATGTAAGAGAGAAAATATTGGGGGAGGGGGGTGTTTCAATTTCTTCCTTCAGAAGGAGATGGGAATGAGAAGGAGGGAGGGAGGGAAGGAAGTCCTGCCTTAGCACTTGGCCATCAGCAGCCCTGCCATTGACTTTGCTTGTCAAAAGGTTGCAAAAGGGATTACATGATCCTGGGACACTGTGACCATCATAAATATAAATCAATTGCCAAGCATCCAAATATAAATCACGTGACCCTAGACATGCTGCACTGGTCATAAGTGTGAAAAATAGTCATAAGTCATTTCAGTGCAATTGCAACTTTGAGCAGGGTTGGGTTTTTTTGGTCATCAAGTTTTTGACACCTTGCTAGGTGGTATTCGAATATTGCCATATCCTAAAAGTGGTACAGTCGGTGAAAAGGTTGAAAAGCCCTGGCTTAGAGGATAAAGGTTTAAAAGAAATGCTGATACATATGTCTGGTAATAAGCAAAATTCAAATTGATCAGTTTCCCTATATTAAAGGCATACCACAATGAATTTGTTGAAATGACTCTATTTGGGCCAATAGCAAGTCTGTAAGGATAAGGGACTGGAATTGTCTCTTTCATTTGAGCAGTAGTGTTACAATAGTGTTAGAACATTTTAACTTAGATCCATACATTCATATGGGTATATTCTTTTGATTATTGAAAACTTGAAGTCTTTCTTAAGATTATATTAATCATTAGGCTAAGAAATATATAAAGATAGATTTTGGAATAGTTTTATAACTAGATTTATTTTAAAAAAAACTATGTGCTTCTCTAATATAATGTGATTACTCTGGAAATACATAAAATACAAACATTTGTTCATCATAGTTAGACTGTAAAACTGTTAAATCAGTAATATAATCCCTTGGGTTAACTATTAAATTGGTACTCTGAGACAAGTAATTTCATTCCCAGAGATACAGACAAAAGAGCAAAAGGTAGATTCCTGTTGCTCAATAAGTTTTTTGTTCCCTGTAGCAGCTGCTTGACTACAGGTAGAGTCCAATTTAGCATCTTCCTGAGTACTAGGCATTCAGCACCCATAGTTCTTAGCCAACATAAGGATATGGTAGATGAGTGTTTCAGAAGTTGAAGTTTGATATATATGGAAGATGTCAAATTGGAAAAAAATTAGAATACAAAATGAATCTTTGCAATAGGCCAAGAGTTCCAGATAGAACATTATATGATTGCAAGAGAAATAAAAGGCTTCCTATATTGGCTGACATAAATTCTGTATGTGAATGTAATTTACATCTTCATCTGATTATCATATGTTTGATGATAGTATTAAAACAAGTGTGTCAGCAGTTGTCTTACAGTGTTGTAATATGCATGCAGAAATCAACAGTGATCTATTAAGGGTTTCCAAATTTGTCCTAACTTTGCTATGTACTTTTCTGCTTGAGTCTCCAAATTATGGTAGTACTATCTGCAACATTTATAGTATTACAGCAGCTTTTGTCACCCACACAGCCATAAATATTTGTAACAAGCCAAAGTAATCTCAAAATGATGACAAATTTACAGAATGGAAATATTACCATTGCCTTTTTAACAGCGACTTCTTAGTTTAACAAATCCTTGATAATATGAGTGACCTTTGTGTAACTTTAAAGTGAGTTCATGCATCTGAATAAGCCATAATCAGGTGTTCTTCATTTGGACTACTATTTGCTAAACCATTTACTAATCCATATAATTTTATAAATCTATTTTTCTCTTGAGGTAGGTTCACACATCAGAAGAAGCCCAAAATTACCAAGACAGAAATTGTAGACATAAATTAAGCATTAAGACTTCTTAATCTTGAAATATATTTTTTAATTTGGATTATATAACCATGTGTAGAATTTTCAATATTTTGTTTCAAATAACCCCATAGCTCCTAGAAGAAAAGATTATTTCATGAACATCTCTGATTCCATTATGCTTAATTTCTAAAAAGTAACAAAAAGGGAACAGTTAGTTTGTAGCTGTTGCATATATGTAATTCTGCAAATCTCCACTTTTATTGAAACTGGCTGCACTTAACCATTGTTCATGCATTGCCAAACAAAAACTGGATCTTGCACAAAGGATTTTGGGAATATTATACTATTGTGAAAAATGTCTGGGTATGTTGTACAGGTGTGTTTCCACCAAAAGATCTTGAAATGCAGGCAGACCAGTTTGGAGAGGTGGGAGGCAGCATTAGCTTTTAATGAAGCAACAGTATGAAGGCTTGCCAAGGTAATAATCTCTTCGGCAGTGGGGAGTGCTCCAGTTGAGAAGGTATTCATGACTGAGGACTGAAAACTAAATGAAATTCTGGGTGTTGAATAATGGGGCCAGTACAAGGTAAGTGGAAAGAACAAAGATAATTCTGCTGGTACATGAGGAAAAAAGATATGCTAAAATTATTAAAATAACATAACAAGCTTTCTAGCTCTCCAGAATTCTGCTGTGGGCTGGCCTAGCCTCTTCTAACCAAGTGTCCTCTAGATAAATTTGATTTTAGATTTCATAATCCCTAGCAAACAAAGCATTGGGCTTTGTTCAAGATATGGGATTTAAATACTATCTTATCTGGTGAATTGTGTTGGAAAAGGCTGAGTGTAGAGCTGAAAAATCAAAAAGGGGGGAAGGAGTAAAATTAAGGAGAATCATTTAAATCATGGGTCTTCAAACTTGGCCCTTTTATGACTTGTGGACTTCAACTCCCAGAATTCCTCAGCCAGGCACACTGACTGAAGAATTCTGGGAGTTGTAGTCCACAAGTAATAAAAGGGCCAAATTTGAAGACCCCTGATTTAAATATTCCAAGTTATAAACTTTCTAGATGCTATTTAGTGTCAAGTCCTCTCAGCTAGCCAGATCACAGTTGAAAACAAACTTTGAAATAATATTTTAAATCTGCTCTAACTTACTAGGCTTCAATGCTATCTGCCATGTGATTCTTTTTCTTTCAGATGGGGCATCCTCTTCTCTCATCCAAGGGACTTTACTCCAGTGTGTACCACAGAACTTGGTCGAGCAGCAAAACTAGCACCAGAATTTGCCAAGCGCAATGTTAAGTTAATAGCCCTCTCTATTGATGATGTCAGTGACCATCTCGCTTGGTGCAAGGTATTGTGGAGAAAAAACAATGATAAGAAAGATGGGATAAGAATTGGAAAACATTTTGATAGTCTGCATTTAATGTTTTGAGGGATTGCTGAAATGGACAGGATTAATCATGTATGTAGGTTGGGCAGTGATATTCAGATTTTCTTTTGAAAAGAAAAGGTAAGGCTATTTTAGAATATTGTTTCCTGTCTCAATGTGGTAAGAATATACACTAGTAAATTTGACAACCTCATGCCAAGTTGTGACAGTGCATTTAGAGAAGGCTTTTAAATGTACAGAAAAAGAGATTGAGGACCACAGATTAATAATCCTTACATTTGGCCTTGAGCCTCCATCCTGATGCTCTTCTGTAGTTCTATTATGAAGAGATTGAAAACTTCAACATTAATTTTACATTCATCATAATCTTTACAAATACAATTTTAACTGTGGTTAAATTTTGGATAATTGAAGCAAGTAATTTCAGAAACCATGGTTTTAAGATTATTATTTAATATATATACTGCAATGCTAGAGAATTATCTATAGACAAACCAATATTCATAGGCATTCCTATAGAATTATTTCACTGTTTTGTCCCATGTACAAATGTGAAAAAAAAATAAAAGAACAGAACTGTTGCTGAGGTTGCAGGCTCCAAAATTCAGGATTATATTTCCTTTAAATATAATGTTCTACAATTCCTATCATCCTTACAATTGTATCGTAGTTCAGATGTGAACACATTATGGCTGGCTTCACAAGTTTAAGCATACTTATCAATTGTAAGAGAAAAGACAAAAACAATAAGACAGTAATTTGTGGATATCAATAAATATTTTGGTTTTTTAATAAAAGCATTAAAACTGTTTTGGTAGGTTTTTTTTTTTACAGTATTTTTTTTTTTTACAGAATAGTGGGTTTAATTTCATGCTGATATAGTCACATCTAACATGTCAATTTTCACAACAGGCACAACAATACATCTCCGTTATTCTGGCTTTGAAGCCAGTGTTCAGGGACTAGATTACAGGAGCAGTTTGCAGGCATATATGCTTGATGAGTTGATTTCCTACAGACAAGATACAAGTCATTTAAAAAAAATTGCCTATTGCAGAATATAAAAACATTGAGCACTACAGAAAAGTTTATATTAGGATTTAAATTCCAGGGTTTTCTCTTCTCGCCTCAAAGATTGGGAGACACCTACCAGTAGCTAGTATTTATATAAAAGGGTTGTGTCCAACCTGAAGATGCTGATTCTTGCCTTACCATTTGCAGCACTCAGTCATACTGACTTATATTTTGCAGGCGGTAATGTAGCCTTATTATAAGAAAAGTGACAAAATAAATGAACTTTATGAGGAATTTATAATTACCCTTTCCGGTGCTCTAATACATGACAGATAAAAAAAAATAGTTTGGATATGACTATACCAGTAAATGAAAAAAATGCATAGCAAAAATATCACATATGCTATTTAAACATGGTGCTAAATCATTTGTAGTATCACCATGACAGAATAGCTTGTGTTGAAAACATATACAAAAAACAGTGTCTTTAGAATGTAAATACATAGCTACTTGTCATGAAGTTTATTTATTTATGAGACTTATATACCGCTTTAAGTGCAAGCACTCTCTTAGCGGTGTACACCAGTAAGCAATGTATATATATATTTACATTGCCCCCAACAATCTGGGTCCTCATTTTACCTACTCCGGAAAGATGGAAGGCTGAGTCAACCTTGAGCCGGTGAGATTTGAACCGCTGACCTGCTGAACACAGTCAGCTAAAGTGGCCTGCAGAGGTTCATTTTTTAATACTTTCTGAACTCTAAGCTTGAAGTGCTCATAGACCAAATTCAACCTAAGAATGTGTTTCATTATGCATATTTAATTACTCCATTATTCCCTGGTTATTTATAACATAAGTTATATAATCATGTACTTACTATTATCTTTCTCTAAAAATGGAAATAAGTGCTTCTACAGAAATAACTAATTTCATATATACAACATAATAACAAATACCCAAAGAGCAGCAGTGTAAAATGTTTATTAGATGTTTTGAAAGTATTATTTAATAACATTAGATGACGCTACTATTATGCTGCTACTGTTTATTATTTTTTTAAAATTATAGTTCAGCTGCTTTTCCAGATACTTGAAAAACAATTCTTTTTCTAGAGAGCATTAGCAAACATTGCCTATGCCAGTGATGGCGAACCCTTTAGAGACCGAGTGCCCAAACTGCAACCCCAAACCCACTTATGTATCGTCGGGTGCCGGGTGGGCATAGCCCATTGGGTGGGCGTGGCTGTAGTGGTAATGGCAGACTGGATGGGACTAAAAAGTTCAATCAATTCCAACTTTGCGAGATCTTTTTTTTACCCGCGAGAAGTTGAAATTGATTGATTGAACCTTTTTTTTTTTTTTTTGCACATGGCAGATGAGGCCTAAACTGAAAAGTTTTTATAAAACCCAGCTGAAGGCCTAAGACTGGGGTGACAGTGCACGTGCCCACAGAGAGGGCTGTGCGTGCCACCTGTGGCACGCGTGCCATAGATTCGCCACCACGGGCCTATGCACTGCTTGAAACCTACTAAAATAAAAAGTCAACCCTGATTTCTAAAAAAAGAAAATAAATTATGCTTATCTTTTTTTAATACAAATATAGTGGGTGAGTAGGTTGACTCTTCAAAGAAATTTCAAGATGTTCCCTGCATTGGCTGGAGAAACTTAATTATTTGTATATAGGTTTTTTAAAAGAGATGCTAAAATTTATAAAGAAATTATTGTTTCATATGCATAAAATGCTAGCATGAAAATTTGAATTTATAAAGCTGTACTTGCAGATCAATAAATTATATATGTAAATTAATTGAACTTTCAGTTAAAATCTTATACATAAAAAGCAGTATTCAAACAGCTGGTGTTATTTAATTAAAATGAAACCAGGAAAGGTTTTATCTTAACATTTATACATAAAGTTCAGACAAATTATTAAATGAGAAAAAGCAAAAATGTTTAGTAGCATCATCCATAATAACTGGTTTTGCTTGTTTCCCTTCCAAAAAGCACATAAAATTATGCTTATATTGTCATATCTGCTACTGCCTACTCTACCTTTTTTGTATGAACTTTGTGCACACATCTTCTTAGTACACTTGCATTTAGAAGGCAATTAAAATAACATCTGATACTTCATATTGTGGCCAGCCATTGGAATAAAACTGGCCCTGTAGGTAATGGAACACTTGAGAAGCATTGATGGAAGCATATGCAAAGTAACTTCTTGGATTGAGTTTGGTTCCTGCCGATTATAGGCAGCCCATGTACTGGTATTCCTTGAAACCAGTCGCTTAGCCTCTTTTCAAAGTTACAATGGACCTCCTCAAAGATACTTACGGTCCAGTTCTGAGGGCCAGCCCCTCCCCATATGATCACATGACCACATTTTGGACACTTGGCATTCAGCCCAAATTCATGGCCATTTCTAGCACCCTGTAGTCATCTGACCACAATTTACAACTTTTTCCTAAAACTGAAAAATGCTTAGCGATTGCAGATTCACTTAGCCATTGTGATTTGCTTAATGACCACTGCAAAAAATGGTCCTAAAATTAGGTCAGGTGATGACCCACTTTATGGCCATTACAACTTACAATTTTAACAGAGTCTGCCCATTACAACTTCTGGTTGTAATGGGCAGACTCTGTTAAAATTGTAAGTTGAGGACAACTTATAATAGTACAGAAATTGTCATTACCTTCTTCCAGGAAGTATTTTTTATTTCCCAGTCTAGTCCAGGGATTTCCCAATTGTATTTTATTTGTTTATTTTTTAATTTGGCCACCTGTTGGACGTGCTCTGTAACCTATATATAGATCAAAATTTCACTTACCAAAAATCATTCACATTTTTTTGCTGACAACAGAGTCTTGTCCACCTGTATTAACCATAAAATATATTAGATTAATTATAAAATATGCTAGCATTGTCTCCAGCCTGATGGAAAATATCTCTAACTTATATTTGTCTCTGGTTTTTAATCTTCCTTCTGCTGGCAGTATGTCACCACTACCTAGTTGACTAACTAGAAATGTGGCTCTAGGGCCTTAAATTTTCCACTTTTCTGCTTTACATCTTGTGCAAGGAACTACCGTGTTTCCCCAAAAGTAAGACCCAGTTTTATATTATTTTTGCCTCCAAAAGAGGCATTAGGTCTTACTTTCGGGTAGCGTCTTATATTTTCTGTGACACCTGCTTCGCCTCGCAGTGCCGGGACCAACTGCCCCATCTAGAAGGAGCCTGCATGGGTGCTGGCCCACTTCTGCAGGAGGCTGTGCAGCACATTGTGCCACTGCCGCCACGAGGCGAGCCATGTGGAGGAGGGGGTGAAGCTGCCCCATGTGCACTTGTTTCCTTCAGGCCTCCCCCAGCCAGGCCATTTGTAGGGAGGAGGCAGTGGTTGCTGCCAGGTAGATGATCTTGGGGCGGAGTGTGAAGCAAGCCCCTCCAGTGGCGCAAAGCAGCAGCAGAGTCTTTTGCCGTCACTCCCCCCTGGCTCCGAAATGGCGGAGGGGGACCAGGTCAACCCCGCCTATCCATATGATAGCATGGCAGTCCAGCTCAGGAGGGGAGTGAAAGGGAGCAAGGAATGGCCTGGCTGGGGGAGGCCTGAAGGAAGCAGGTGCGGGGCACATGGGGCAGCTCCACCCCCTCCTTCACCTGCCTTGTCTCATTGTGGTGGCAGTGGCACAATGTGCCACGAGGCCGCCTGCCCCATTATGGCAGCCAGGTGGGAGGAATGGGCAGTGTCCTAACTAGGGCTTATTTTTGGAGTAGGGCTTATATTAGGCCCACCCTCACAAATTTTGGGGGGTGAGATTTATTTTCGGGGAAACACGGTAGGTATGCCATTTTAGTATGGAAGCTAATGGTTGGCTTCTGGTATCAGCAAGTCACTATTGTGGAGAGCCAGTAGTTCACAGAAGAAATTGCTAGTCTGGAATGAATGTACAGATGTAAATCTTAATTTCCCTGTTTTGAGTGAGTTTTCACATTTTTTCCGTCAGTACCAAAATCTGTATAAATAGAATGCAATATCTCAAAAGGTAGGCTACCCCCTTGCAACTATTTTTTTGTTTATTTAGGTTACTCTGGCTTAAACAGTTTTAAGTGTTTTGATCATTTTTATTAATCATAATGGAAGGCTTCTGAAAACAAAGTTTTTTATAACTAAATGAAATAGCACTAAGTTTTTGTACAGAGTTGACTTCGCACTAATTGTAATTGAACAAATTTGTAATAAAATATTTTCCCTCTTGCAGGACATCGGTGCCTACAACAGTGACAAGTCTATTGACAAACTCCCTTTTCCAATAATTGCTGATTCAAAACGGGAACTTTCAGTCCAACTTGGCATGCTGGATCCAGATGAGATAGACAAAGATGGAATGCCTTTGACTGCTCGTGTGGTAAATACCCATTGCCTCTTTTAACATTGCTTTTTTGCAGGCTGCAGTTTTCTTAATTGCTTATGTACCATTTATTGCCTTATTTCTATTTAATCTGTTATTATTTAACCAGATGAGAACCTGTGGTCCATCAGGTCTCCCCATGTAGCCAATAAGTATGTCTGCAAGAAATAAAATTGCTGACATATCTAATCAGAATGGAATGGGTTATTAAATAATAAAATTAGACTAACTTGTAATATTATTTAGAAACCCAGTTCTATAAAATAGATTCCAGGAACTGAGAAGAGTAATAAGTCATTGTTACCAACCTTCATTTGTGACTAACTCAAAATGAAATATGTTGACAGGTGGATTCTCTTTTAATCTTTCAGTTATGAGATTTACTAATCTTCCCTTTTGTAATTTGTTTTTATTATGTATGTATGTGTGTGTATGTGTTTTTATATATATATAAAATTAAAACTAGAAGGGGATAGATTGCCCTGTGTTTTAAGTTCTGCACTCAAAACCCGAGTAGGCCACTATGAAATAAATGAGTTACCTAAGTTCACACATCAACCATTTCAAAAGAATGGTTGCACAGGAACGTTCTCATCTATTTCTCAAATTTCTTTCGTACGTAACAGCTGTAATCTTATATAAATATTTCTCACTTAAATGATAAAGAAAACCTATCATATAACAATTGCGCCAGGTTTAGGATTACAAATGCTGAATAAATGATTTTGGATAAGAACTTAGCCTCAAATGCTATGTGGGAAAATTCCTATCCAAGAATTACATACTATTAAATGCATTGCGCCCCCCCCCCAATGCATTTGCTATTTGTCTTAGAAAAAAATGTAACACTAAATAGTTGGAAAATTATATAATTCCCCAAAGAATTTGCAAGAAATGGATGATTTATAGAACAGTAATATATATGTGATAATTTGTTTTATTTACAATTTGGTAACTTTGCTCTATAGGTATTTGTTTTTGGCCCAGATAAGAAGCTGAAACTCTCTATCCTCTACCCAGCAACCACTGGCAGAAACTTTGATGAGATTCTAAGAGTTGTTGATTCCTTGAAATTAACAGCTGCTAAGAAAGTTGCTACACCTGTTGACTGGAAGGTAGCTGTTTACTTTTATAAATCCATTTAATCCAGTGGTTCTCAACCTGTGGGTCGGGACCCCATTTGGGGTCGAACGACCATTTCACGGGGGTCGCCAAACAAGGCTGTCCACCATTTTTTTCCCTTTTTCTTTGGCCACGCCCCTGGCACCCAGTGATGCATAAGTGGTTGGGGGTCACCACAACATGGGGAACTGTATTATGGGGTCGCGGCATTAGAAAGGTTGAGAACCACTGATTTAATCTAAAGTTTTATTCAGATACTGTGAAAATTGTTGAAGAAACAGATTTTCCTATTATTCCTATTATTGTGGGAGTTGCTAAATACAAAAATATTGAAATAGATTGGATAATGACCTCCATGAAGTTATCAGAGAAATATCTCCTGAGAGTACAAGTTAGTGTTGTGAGATTACAATTACCATTGTCCTAAGTGGAAAGGTTCCTGCTCCTGATGATATTTTTTAAAAAAACATAGATATATTTATGACAGCCCTATAATCAATTGGGTGAGCTCTCCAGCCGTAATCTCTTATGAACTGTCTTCAGTTTCTTACAAGTGTACTCTGGTTTACCCTCATAAGACTTTATTTTTTATCAGCATTTCCATTAATTTTTTTTGCACATTAAAATGTTTGGGTATAGTTTTATATATTTATTAGAGTAACCTGAACTTGCCACATTGATACTTTTTTCAAACCTATTTAAAAGCTGAAATTTGAATTTCTTAATGTAGGTTCTATAATGCCCATAAGGTCATCACCTGAAAATACCTTTTTAAAAAAAAAGCAGGGGGAGAAGAAAAATGATACTTGTGAAATTTTGGTAAATTTTATTTCTGTTTGGAAAATTCCATGAGAGGTGTTTTGAATATCTGTGGAAGACTATTCCAATTGGGCAATATGTTTTATTGGGGTGTGTGTGTGAAATGTTCTGTATGTTGTCTGTTTCTACGTATATACAGAGCACCAAGTTTGTAAATTATTTTACATATCCTAAGGTGTAATATGAGACAAACTAAGTAGCTTTTACTTAGCTACAGATTGTTTTTGTAGGAGTTTTGGCAAGAGCTCTTTGGCAGGCACTTTTTATCTTGGAGGTCTTCTAGTCCAGCCCCCTGCTCAAGCAGGAGAACTATACCATCTCAGACAAGTGACTGTCCAGTCCCTTCTTTAAAACCTCCAGGGATGGAGCGCCCACGGTTTCTAGAGGCAAACTGTTCCACTGGTTAATTGTTCTCACTGTCAGGAAGTTTCTTCTTAATTCCGGGTTGCTTCTCTCTTTGATCAGATTCCAACCATTGTTTCTTGTCCTGTCCTCTGGTGCTTTGGGGAATAGTTTGACCCCCTCTTCTTTGTGGCAGCCCCTCAAATACTGGAATACTGTTATCATGTCCTTTTTTTCTCTAGACTAGCCAAACCCAAATCCTTGAAGTGTTTCTCTTGTTTTGGATTGAGGTAATGTAAAGAGGTACAGAATTAAAACCCTAGTCTTAGATTTATGCATTATAACTATTTTGTCAACTACATGAAGCATATTAAATATTTCAGCTGTAGAAAGGTTTAGAATATATGCAGTAACGTATACAATCCAGCTTCAACAATATATGTCTAGGAAGATGATAGTGTATGTATGCGGTCTGATTCATTGACTGAAGGTTCTGGGCTGTCCAAATAAGAATAATTAGTAAAATTATTACTAATTTTCTTTTCCTTTCCTTGTGAGCCCGGAGACCAGGTCATGGTTATTCCAAGCTTATCAGATGAAGAAGCCAAAAAGCTGTTTCCAGGAGGGATTTGCACTAAGCAACTTCCATCGGGCAAGAATTATCTTCGTTATACCTCTCCATAACAATTGTGAAGTGAAATCATATGAACAGAATGCTGATCGCTGGGACTTTGCAAGACTGGTTGCTTTAAATGTGTGGAAATATACTTTGAGAGGCTGTAGCAAAAGGGAAACAAAGTATCTATTAATGTCTTTTAACCCATTGATTGGTGTAGCTTACAGCTTCAGCTAATCAGTTTAGGCTTGTTTTTTTCAAATGTAATCAGTTTTCCTCGCCTTCTTGGAATTGAATATATCACTTTTAAAGCAGTACAGATTTTTCTTTAATTGATTTTCTGTTTTCCAGGGACATAAAAACTTGATTCATGAATAGCGGATTAATATTTTTTCATTAATTAATTAATCAATTACTGTTACATGTAAAAAAATGCACATCTTGCATTATGTTTGTAAGATTATCATAAATGAATGTTCTTGGATTCAGTTTACAAAATAAATTCAATAAACTATTACTTCAATTTGGGATTTTCATTTTAATCCATTAATTAAAAACCTAATTCAG